TGGATTTTCACTGTTTGTAATTTCCCCTCCTACACATAAATGCGGGGAAAAAATAATGTATAACAGACGCATGTTAAACTCCCTTTTGACATGACTAAAAGCGCAGCCCACCTGAGCAAAACTTAGATCCGTCTCTCTTGCAATATACAGGTCTATCATAACTAAGGGCGCATGCCCCATCCCCAATCTTTAGCCCCCTCAGAAATTAGAGAAGAAAATATCCAGTGAAAGAGTGAAAGTCCACCTTGGTCCGTGTTAAACCTTTCAATTCACGAGAACCTGGCAGTTCAGATCCCAATATGCCCTCCTTCATAAAATGATGGCCTCAAGTGCCCCCCCCAGCAGGTACCCTAGTTACGCCACACTACTTGGGGCTCGTATAAAATTAATGGTAGGGCACTCAACTCGTTTGGCCATTCACATTTGCGAATAACAGTAACTCTTTTGTCCTCAATTGTGAGCCAACTTGAAGACAGAGACCTTGGGCGTCCGCGTGGACACCACAGTTTCGCCCTAATTCTGCAAGGCTGTCAAGTATAACTAGATTATAATTAGAGCTTTTATGAGATGGAAATCCTTGCCTTGGGAAGAGTCGTTCAACACTCCCAACATTATTTCGATTACGACACTTTATTTTTCAATTCTGAAACACACATGAGCCCTCAAATCAATGAACCATGGCAAAGGGCTAATCCGCTCAAATTCCAGCGACGAAACTAAGCACTGATGTTCACGCCCATGAAAACAGACTTTTGCTGCTCGTTGTGGACCAGTGATCATCAGAAACCCCTAACGGTTGTGGTAATTTGGGTATATTATTATGACAGCCCTGGTGTTCAGTGTAGAAACTGCGGCGTTAAATTGAACACCCTTAGTGTTAATATAGGACTATTGGTCCGATATTATAAGCTCCGAGGTTGTTCAGTTTAACACTGCAGTCTTTGCAAGTGTAGACAGCCTTAGCCCAACACTTTTATGTCTTCTGAAGAGCTTTTTCAACCAGGAGCAACTCTCGCTTAGACAGAAAGGAAAGAGATAAAAATTTGACCGACTATCCCAATATCCTCGTCGGCGTTATTATGTTCCTCCAAACCTTTTACGTCTTACAGGTAATGGTCGGCTGGTCTGTGGCGTTCGAGGCCATCAAAATAATGCCAGCGTAGTTGGACGAACAGCAACGAAAACTTTTTTAAAAGAAATCAGATATATAATAATCATTACTTAGACAGCAGTGAAGTACAAGTAGCATTGGGATTCCTCCTCCTGTCTTCACCTCCTCAGAATTTAGAGATCAAAGCACAGGTACAATCATACGCCTAACGTGGCACACCATTGCACACGAATGCCACCAAACTTGAACACAAGGCCCAACGCCTCTTGAAGAAACGACAACCCCGTCTACTTCAAGTCTAAATCTGGTCGGTTTCAGTGAGAGGCACCTATAGTGTGATACAAAGAGGATGCCGGTTGCAGCCCGCGTGCCTGAGATCTGTTGTATCGGTGCAGCTATCTTGTTGGACGAGTTTGGACAGCGTAGACAATGCAAACAGTCGGTAACAACACAAAAGGGACGAAGATATATACAACGAATAGCCTCACATTTTAGGGCATTCTTCCGCTAAGAAATAAGACCAACATTTCTTTAAAAATACGGTAAAAGTATTTGAGTAAACTTTCTTAAAAGCCTATTGCTTCTTATATGTAATGTAAACCATGTTCATGTATACAGGTCGTTGTTGCCAGAGGCATGGTATGCAATCCGCAATCTGGTGAATGGCCTTTTGATTGAAAATGTCTTCCAAAGTAGTGGTTTTCTTACCATCTGAGAATGGAAGGTGTATTTTGACAAGAAATGCCCATCCCTCTGATTTCTAGAGAATTATTGAAGGTACGTGTATTCAAAGTAACTGAATTACACTATCTCTATGTTTATCTTTCAGATGATTTTTAACTGACCAGGTTCTCATCTTAGTCTGATTATCTTCCGATTCGTGTCACATAGGGCGTTCATTTTTATATTCCAATATGCATGTATAATAATGATTACGCAGGTCTCCCAAATAAAGTTGCTTTATATGCTTACACTTCAGTGCTCAAACAAAATAAAGTTAGACAGAAAGTTATCAAGAAAAGACGCTGTCGTTAGTAAGGGGTTCTTAATTCGGACATTAAAATCAAAATTGTAAATTTTACTTCATTACGCAGTGCCTTAATATAAATCCCCGTTATCTGATTGGTAAGGCGTCAATCACGTGTCAATGAACGATTCGTTCACATCGCAAAAATTAAGTTCTACTCCACTTGTTGTCTCTACTGCACGCATTGCATCCGATGAAGTAGCTGTTGCTACGTACGAAGGCTCATGTTTTTAGTTCGTCTACGGAGTGCTGCCCCATTTCGCCATTCTAGTGTAAACATATTCTTTTTACAGTCAAAAGAAATTTCTAAAGGCGTGGGTGACACAGGGATGCATTCAGGCGGTGATTTTATTCAGGAGTCACTTTTCAGGTGATTTTAGTATTATATGCAGTAATTGTTGATAAGTTTTAAAATATTAATATTATTGTTATCACAAACGCAATATATGAGTACGGTTTTTGCCAAGTCTTGGGTGTAAACTTACAAACAAAAAGCTATACTCAGAAAAAAATTGTAAAAAGCGTCTATGAATTATTTTCCTCAACAAAACTAGAGTATAAGATGGTATTATCTTGGATTAAAAAAATTAGGAATGGAAAAGAAACACAATCCGGACAAAGGAAAGAGATCCATACACGGACAACAATAATTTTCCTTTAAAATGTTGAACAAGCAGAAAGTGATAACATGTCCTTAAAGGTGAAATTTAGTTAAGAAAATTCCAAAGCATTTATTTAAATAGTGTTGTGCAGATACAGAACTATTTCCGTTTCGTTTGTGTGGTAAAATTATAATCATCCAGTTATATATCTTATGTGCCGAGTCAACTTTGTATGCCGTTTCTCAGTTTTAGTGCTCATTACACCTAGGGATGGTGAGAAACGTCGACATTGAGGATGCGCTGTGGATATACCTGTCAAGTGCATCACGAATTCGGTTGAGGAAACTGCATGAGACGAAATAACCCTATAAGCATTATACTACAAACCGCAGTCAGTAATAATTACTGGTTACTTTCGCCCCGGTCTGCCACAGCATTTGATGCAAACTTAATATGATTACACTGAAAGCTTTTCCGAGACTTGGAACTAGGGTTTTTTACTCACCATTGGCGATCACCGTATTTCCCGCAAAACATGCGGCCAGGAGGAGTAAATATCCCAGCCAGTGATCCATGGCGATACACGGTGGCTTGACTGCAACAATCTATCCTACAAAGCAGTGGTCCCACGCGGCACGCCTTGCCCCACGAGGAGTGACGACCCTAAAATGATAGGGGTTGAACTGTTTGTACCGGTATAATAGCTCGTGCATTCGCTTCCCGCGTGCTGGGATCCCTTGGACGATCGGCTAAGGCCTTTATTCAACAATCCCCTCCCCCTTAAAAAAAAAAAAACAGTGCGATGTGCTGTCAAAGAAGCCCATTCAAAACCACAGGCTGGGTACTTCCCACTCTTACTTTTGTAGTGCAAATTCTCTTTGCTTGTGTTGACTAACAATGCATGCTTAGTGGTAAGAAAACCGAAAAGTTGGACACGCTTGATTTAGATTGAAAAATGCTGTGCGGTTTCATAATCTCAAAGCCTAATTCCGTTCAGGGAGTGAAACTCCACCACAGGAATACCACCATCAAACATAACTTAAAGAAATTAATAAGAATTTCATTACATGGTTGAAATGTCCTGGTCGATACGGTAATCTGAAGCAATTTTCGTCAGTAAATTTCGACAATGTACCTACTTAACCGATCAGTAGACAAAGATTGGGCGCCCATTCACGGACGGCGCAAAAACCGCTAAAAACAAGGAATACCGTTCCATCCCAAAGTCTTCATACTGGGAAGAGTGAAATCATTCAAATACCGTCTGTCAAGAAAAAAAAGAAGGGAAAAAATGAAATTAACAAACAATCCAAAAAACAAAAACCTCCTGAGCAGTGGCAGCGCTACCCGGTGTCATGTAATGCTCTCACTGGAAAGTCGCTTGTACCCACTTTTTATTAAAAATAATTATTGTCGTTTTCAACGATTCTTAAATGTCAGGGTCTTTTTTACCCATGAATGAAAGTAAAATGTATATTTATGTATAAAATATATTTATATCTATTTTTAAAATATTTTTTATCTCACAACTGAATGTGGGGAGACAAGTCTTTTGACTGCAGTGATTTTATTACTTTTGACCTTCCTATTCCCATCGCTTTGTGATGTACATTGTTGACATGAATAAAATAATGATAATAACAATACCTACAACGATTTTGTCACATATTAAGACAGGGCAATAACCTTTTCGTTTTACGACTCTGCGCATCACAATCCATCACAACGCTGCCACAGTACCACTAAAAAGTCAAGACTATGGTTTTTAAAAGCTAAGCTGATGGACAGCCTAGAATTCATATAATTTGCGAAAGGTTTTTCTAAAACAGGCAAGAAACGGTAACATATGCATTTAGCATTGGAAATTTAGGTAGTCCGGATGTGTTCCAGCCAACTGAACTCATGGCACGTCATGTCAGTCTATAATGGCGATCGTCAAATTTTTTTCAAGTCGAGATTTTGGGATAAGTGGAAATCTGCACTATGATACAATGTTTAATCCATGATATTGTCGCTCATTAACTTCTCGAAAAAACTGACGAAAAAAATTACGAAGATTTTTGTTGCTCACAGTTGCAAGAAGTCGCCAAATTCATGCTATTTTATTTCTCGAATGGTTTTGCTTCAAAGGTCAGAGCATCCGTTGACCTCGCTCACGCCACATTACAAAATTAATACTTCATGTCGCTCGTATTGAGACTCTGAAACTAGAGAGGGCGCTATTTTATGTAAATTCTTGCGGATGTTGCTGTGACAACGACGGTGTATGCCGGGGGGGTACGTCCACTTACATGACTTATACTAAGTTTATCAACAGGTGTTGACGATTGGGCCAAACCGTCAAATCTTCTTTCCAGAGTTAAACTTCCACGCATACAAGGAGTAGCATTTGATTGGAAGGCTTGCAGTTGGAATTTATCAAAGTGGCCGCTCTCCTGCAGAATATTTGCCCGAAAATGGCTGCGGTAAAGGCTTTTCAGGGAGCACCATTCGGCACACAAAAATCACGGTAGGCTAGGCGTAGGGCTAGGCCTATAAAAAGGCCCTCGACCATTTTACATGATTTACTGACTTGTTTTAATCATTTAATGTCAGTGAAAATAATACCCTGATTATAGATTGTCAGAAATAGGCCTATAGCATGTCTACCCAGGAGGTGAAAAGAATGGATCACTATAGTATGGGACAAATTCCAAGAGGCTTTGTGATAAATCGTTTTCCTAGCCCAGGTGGACTCCCTGACCGTAGTCCCTACTGCAAAATGAAGACAACGTTCAACCTGGGCTAGAGTCCTACCACTACTAACGTTAGTCATGGGCCTATTCTTAATTCTGTTGCTTTATTTTTCTCGCTGAGTGTTGCATAGTTTATAGTTACAGGTAGGCCTATAGTCCCTATTTTCATTTAGGCCTGGATGCCTAATGTAGGTCAAACACATTATGAATTTTAATTGCTGCCAGCCAAACAGAGTTTCCTGCACAAAAAAATATAAGTATTCCTACATGTACATGCCCAGCCTCATGCTTTCAGATTTAGACTACCTTTAGGGCCTGGCCCTAGGCCTATTGCTCAAGATTTATGCCTACATGTTCTCACAGGCTCAGGAATGTTCATTGTTTTTGTTACAGGTTTGATGTGTCTGGGGTCCATCCTCAGAGTAAAATGCCAGGAACATTCACCGAAGTCTGGTATGACAACAAATCAATGACAGGATTGGTAAGCTACCCTACAAGGAGTCTTCATCCCTCCTTCTTTACAAAAAGAAAATTGTCAAAAATTGTCTAAAACATCTAAAACTGAAAACAAGAAGGCCTAGAAAATGTGTTGAATAAATACAGTTCTTAGCAATTTGTTATAATATTACGAATAATGATGACTATATATATCACACCCAATCCATTTATTCTTTGTGGGGCTTTGGTAAAAGTGAGCCTTTTTTTAAACAGAATTTGTAACCAAGTTACACGGCAAGTTTATTATTTTACAAGCAAAAGTTACTCTCCTATCGTTTTAAAATAACCAGTCAGTTATAACTGATTTTATGGAGCCATGCACCATGATTGCAAAGTTGCTGATCTGACATCAGGTTTCTTTTATCTCCTGTATTTTCGACTAATGAATCTTTACACTTTCCAGAGGAGAAAACGAGGACCGGGTACCTACAAGGTGGAGGTTGGAACCTTCAGTCAGAATGCCGTTGAGAACAGAGCTTCAGGGCCAGGATGGGCTAGGGCTTATGAGACTGCACGTATGGCAGCCCTGCCCCATCTACTACACAAAGACCAATGGGAGAAGAAGAAGATGTTGGTAGGTCATTCAGAGGGTCACAAATACATCCTTTGGGGTGTTGTCTCTTACTTCTGAATATGCTGAGTTTCAATGACTGATGGAAAATTCAAAACGAGCGTGGAGATGTAGAATTTTATTTTGGAATTATTAGGTTTTTTAAATACAGCAGAAGACTTTCATCAGGGTTTTGAAGTTATTTGTGGGTCAGTTTTCAGGAGTTAGGAAAAATTCAGTTTTTAGACAGAGTTACTAACCTATGGCATGTGATAAACTCGCACCTTTGGAGTAGTTCTGCTTCCAAGTCAGAGGACAGTCACAACTGATGAAAGTTAGGAGACACCATAACGCAGGTGCACATGTCTTAAAAGGTCTACAAATTATGTTGCCGCTAAGGTCTCCCCTGCACCTCCCCCATCACAGCATAGTCTCCCAATGTTCGGACACTTCTAATCACTCTTGGATCTCCTGCATGTGCAGGTCAAGAACCTTGGGCCTGGGACCTACAACATCAAAGACTTTCTGCATTTGATGGACGACCGGCCTCGAAGCACGCGAGGAATCTGTCAGACCAGAGAGAGTCGCTTCCGAGGCACAGCAACGGTAAGCAATTAACCAGCGCCTTACTGCTCACTGATAAACTGCTGCAACAAATGGGCAGTTTTGGCAACCTATTTCATGTAATTGTCAAGATTAATAAGTGAAGAATTTGTTATTGCTGCTGTAATTTTTTTCCAGAGCGAAGTTCCAGGCCCAGGAACCTACGGTGAGGGTGGTATACCCCATACTGCTGTGGAGAAGAAAGCTCAAGTCTCGGCAAGTACTGTAGGTTTACTAGATGCTGGGTCCTCAACACCTAGACATCTGCCTTCAGTGGTAAGAGCTTCTTCATTTTTTTCACAATCTCCTCCACACTGAAACCCTGAAGTACATGACCTGATGGTTTAGGGCCTTATTTGTGAGGCATCTTGACTAAATCTGGTTTGAATCTAATGACTTGTTGTCAATGCTTTGTCACCAGGGTTGTGAGTTGGGTCCAGGCACCTACGAGACGGAAAGCTTCACCGACAAACTTGCCAAGAAGGTTACCAGTCTGAGAGGCCCCTACGATCTGTTCACAGGCGACAGGAACGCTGTCATCAAGACGGGTCATCTAGCCAAAGCAGTAAGTACAACACAACATTCTTTGCTTACTGAAGAAATATCTCAAAACTGTGGCAAATTTGAACAATCTACCAGAAGGAAGCCCCACAAGTTCATTGGTAGTTTTTGATTGAATGGCTGTTCCATATTAGTTATAGCTTCAAGACATCAATTAAAGAGTCTATACTTTGCTAAGCCCCCTCAAACATCATTGTTCTAGCTGAAAGTAAGTACAGCAAGAGTGTCTGGAGGAAGTTTCTTCTAGGAGGAATTTTTGGTGCAAGCTGTTGTACCTATGAACTGGAAGCCATCATGTAGACTTCTATCCTAAATCAAAAATGTAACTGCATTATTAACACAGTGATTGCGTAATTACTGATCAGTAAATCAAGTAATTGTTCTTTCCCCACAGATATTAATCTTCTGAATAGCAGTCATAACTAATCAATATTTACATCATTCGTCAGGGTCAGCATCACTTAGGTCCTGGTCAGTACAGTCTGAAATCCTTCGTGCATAAGTGGGACGATGAACACCACCAATGGCAGGGTAGGTTTGGCAAGCATTCCCAGTATCCGGAGAGACCTACCGAGAGGATGCACTGCTCCACACTCTCCCAGTGGCCTAGATGCCAGGTAAGGTTTTCTTTGTCCATTGCATTCTTTCAGGTCAGTGGAAGCCCCAAAAAACTTTGTAAGAGATGTTTATATATTATTCAATTCAAAAGATGGTAATAAACTAATGGAAGGATATTATCAGGGGATTCCAAAGAATGGACCTGAGACATAACGATGCAACGCAGTGTGACCGCAGTGCATTGTGGGTGAAAAGTGGAAATCAAAGAAATCAAACTTCAGACTGAGCAAATTTGCAGTTTTATGGAACAAAATGCAGTTCTGGGTGTTTGTTGTGTGCTTGATACACACAATGGTACGCCCAAATTAACATGAACAATTTCGGAAAATACAGGCCTTCTTAATCTCAGGATCTTTTTGACAAAGTTTCCATGCGCATGATGTTAGCAATAGTGCGCTAACTATCGTCCCCATCTTTTGCCCACAATGCAAAAGGTGGGCCGGTAAAAATCATATCCAAGCTCTGTTCAAAGCAGGATAGAAATGCACATCAGAGCACTGGTAACGTAGAAAAGCAACAAGAAATAGCAAAAATTCCATACGGAGTTTCATCTTGTTACCAAGCGTAGGTATAAAATTTAGTGATCCTGTACTAAAATCAAACATCACACACTAACAACATAAACTCCTCATTTATTGTGCTCTATGGCCTAAGTAATTTGTTATTTTTATTGTTGGCCTCTTTTATCTTAGAGTGAACCAGGTCCTGGGCATTACACAGCCAGGGAATTGACCAGAGTAGAAGGCAAAAATCTCCCTCCATTTATCTCGTCAGCAGAACGATTTGACAAGCGAGCTCGCAAGTTCTTTACAGGACAAACGGTGAGTCCAAAACAAAGTCTTTTGTTTCATATCTGGGTTCCTCTCAAATTGCCAAATAGGGTGTGGAAATTTGGTTTGGGGATTGTCTTCAGGAAATAAGAATTGAGCATGATTAAAAAAAATTAAGAATTCTGTTCATAATTTGTGAAATGATTTTTGCTATGATATTAAAAAAGGAAATTATTTCTCAGGAATTTAACCACCACTTTCGAACAAAATACAAAATTGAATAGTGATCCATGAAAGAGATCCATTAGAAAAAAGGAAATGAACTTCACAAACGGAATTAAGTGGAGAAATCTTAGTTGCTCCACTTTGCTTTCTGCTTGTCTTCAGAACCCCGTAGGAGCAGGCCGCTATGACTTGCAACGTTATGAAGATGCCCAACATCGCAATGGCCACAGGAGTGTCTTCAACTCCAAAGTTAAAAGAGAGAGGACGAGTCGGGATAACATGATGCAGTAAGTTAGGAAGTCAAGTCAACTGTGTCGCCGGAGAATTATGTGACGAGACGTGTACTGATGACGTCAAACTTAGTTTACATGTGTGCTTTCTGGCTTTGCTCAGTGGACCGGGGGCCCCCAACGGCTCCATAAGAAAGTGTACCTGTGAATAAAGTGTGTTATTATGAGTTCATGGTCCTGTTGCTTATGGGATATGTTGATTTCATTTTATGCTGGAGTGTACTTAAGAAAACATGCATTTGCTCGGAAGATCTTGCAATTTTTCGAGTTTTGAGAATGCAATTTATCTTGTGAAACCAGATATGGCTAGAAAACGGTTTGATTGAGCGAGTCATGTTACGAGCTGAACTGTCTTTGTCCACAGAGAGCGTATACGAGCAATCAACCTCAGACCAGAAGACAAAAGTGACCTGACGGTGCAGAAAGGAGAGGATTATATCAAGGCCAGACGAGTCATCTATACACAGCAGTAGAGGGGGCACAGGAGGGTTGGGAAATGGGGTTGGGGGTTAAATTAATACGACTTCAGAGTAGCTTGTAAGTTTATTGAGAGGAAGACATACATGTGCATATGAATGGCTTCTTTGATAACTTCAGTTATAGGTCCTTTTTCTGGGAAGTATGCTGGATAAGTTACTCTTTGGGGAAAATCATGAGGGATTCCAAGTTGAGATGCTGCTGAGGAGATGGTTTTTCCCCCTGTACTGCTAAGATGGGATTCATGAAACCTCAGAAATCAGAGACTTGGCAAGTTGCAGCAACAAAGAGTAGGAAACAAACCAGTCCAAACAGATGTATCACAGACTACATGAAAAATCAGTTGTGTTTGGATCACTTCAGAGGCCACAAATATAATGTCTCCGTTAATTGGAGGAATTCCTAAGCCATGAATGGACACTATTAGCCTTATTGCTTCCTTCATCAAAGAATAATTCTGTGATACTGCAAATCAGCTGAACATAAAATCCATTTCCCAGTCTCACAAAGGCAGTTGTTGCCTGCTACGATTTTAAACATTTTAAAGCGATAGAACCGTGTATCCAGGAAATACAAACAATGTGACCTTGTTGCCGACTGCCCTCTGACATAGTGCTTCCTCGTGTACAGACTGCATCCAAACATGCTTGCTGCAGCCAGCAGCGAATGCATCAGCATGCAAGGCAAGTCACTGCAGCGGCTAGGCTTTGGCCTCTATGAGTTCATTTAGTTTTATCAGCCAGAGCCAGGCTTTTGGAAAAAGCTACTACATGTACATTGTACACAACTGACATCAACTGCACTGTCCTACGAAATGAAGTCCTATGCAATACTGACACATTTTGATTTCAGATTTCAATGCAGCTGTTCACCGTGTGATTTGCATGTACAGTGTTTATTTTTGTATAATTTACATAAAATATATCAAGGGTGCTTGCTAAATACACGTACTTTGCACTGGTTTGGTACACTTGTGTAAAAAGTTTGACTTGATCTGCAATAATGAGTGTCTTAATGAGAAGAGTAACAAATATCTCTATTTACCTCAGCGTTACACAAGAATGGCTGACAAAGTGGGTGGATTTTGCAATATTAGTCTCATAACGAAAACTTAACTTCTGAGGTAATTGACCCTGACACTTTTAATTAAAGGGTTGTATTATTATTTCCTTTCTTTTAAGGAACTGAGCTCAAGAACAAGTCTCCATTTTGTGGAATTTGACCATTTTTTTTGCAACTAGGCACTTTGAAAGATAACAAAAACCCTGTCAGCATTTCAAAGGCAGAAAATTTATACAAAATCAAATCCTGAAAACAATTAAAAAAGGGAGTCATAATAGCTGGAACTGCGAATAAAATGAACCTTTAAAAACCAGCAAATTGGTTTTTACAAGATGTCATTTTGTGCCTTGGGATTTTCATGTTGGAAGTTTTGCCCTTCACCAACTAGCAAGGTCATGGGTTCGAGTACCAACCGAGTGAATCTCTGAAGATTTTCACAAGCCCTAGAACCATTTGGAGTATACCATGTTTATGAATATTCACCAGGGACAGGCCAAACACTCAGTACAATGGATTATTCCGTTTATGCTATGCAATAGCGATATCACTGCTGTTATGGCCTTGCATATTCTCTTCTAAGATTGTAACAAAAGGTTCCTGAATTCACAAAAATTATGTAATTGATGAGGACCCACTCGAGACCAGCCAACCAAAGCTGGTTGCTGACAGCCATTCCCATTCACAACAATTCAACAAGAGTACGTTCAAGGCTATCACACAGGGTCACAGCACTTCACACAGTGGACACGTTAACCATTCCCTGTGGATTATATTTGTCCTTGTCTGTCCATTATTTCACAAGAACCTGGACTGCAGGGGTTTTTGTTGTTAACTATTAGTCTAACTAAGACACTATTAAACCATGAATGACATGACTTGATATTTAAAATGGAGAATGTACATGTACACATTTTAACGACAGTTTCCCTGCATTCCATTTCCAGGCTGACAACATCCACTTGTCTAACTTCCATTCACAATCATTTAGCATGAGATTGTTCGATTTATGGATTTATAAAGAAACCAATTTTGCCTGGAAGCATCTTATTCACCTCACATTTTTCTAATTAATATTTCATTTTAACAGAGCCACATTCACAGTGTCACAGTACTCCATGGCCAACTAAATCAACTCAGGCTCAATTATAATCAGTGTTTGCATCATCATCTGCTTGCAAGGCCATGGCAGGTGAATAAAATATCACATTTTCAGCAGGTGCCCTTTTACGACTCGGAGCATAAGTGGTATGATTTTCTTACACATACTTTTGAGGCCTACTACAAATACGATCAAAAGCTTTCGGAGTACAGTCTGAGATTTTTTAAATGCATTTTCCTTTGAAAAGCTTCACAGCCATCGACAAGAGCATACGATGAACGCTTGTAGGGGATTGAGAAATGTGTCCAAGGGACTTGTATTTGCATAGATCTATTACAAACCGTGGTCACTTCGCAGTCAGATTGACAGGAATACTTCTAAATCTGCCTTAATCTCCTACTACAAAACCCTGTTGCAAACTCCAAATGAGAACATCAAGTCCTCAGTAGGAAATAACAGCTGCCTGGGGGTACAGTCACACACCCATCCAATTACTGCACAATCACAAACAGGTGTTCATGAGGATTAATGACTCATGCAGTATACTGTACTCATCATTTCTTCAACTTCTTCATTATGTTTGTCTGCTCCATTGCTGTCCGTCTCTTGCGCTGTGAACAAGAAAACATGAGTTGGGTTCAGATTTGCAAATCAACATCCTGAAGTAAAACCCACCCCTTGAGACTACTTGACTAGAATCAACATCAAGTAATGTCGAACTAGACACACATATCTAACAGCAATTTAACGGGGAAAAAAATCCCTTTGGTCATTCCACTTACTGGTGTTGATGGAGATGTGGTGACAACATCAATAATTTCAGACACCTGCAAGAGACAAGCGGCCATCTGGTTACTTTGCTTCTGAAAGAGAAACTGAGTCTTTTATCACTTATCTAGGTCAGTAACAGAGCACCAAAATACTAGAAGACAGAGACGAGCTTACAACCCACTGATTGAACCACGACACGGACATTTAACACACACATAAAAACAAATGCTGCCTGCCTGGCATATTAACCACTCGGCCAACCAGACAGGGAACCAACCTACAGTTTACAAGCCAGAACCTTTGATCCAGCATGAACGAAGCCATGCAGATGGGATCCCGTGCACATAGGCCAGCCAACTAGTCAATCAGCCATCTAGCCAGCTCACCAACCCATCATCCACTCACCTTCTTATTCTTTGATGACTGATCATCAGAACTATCCTCTATCTTCACCTCTACTCCCTCGGCTCCAGATGTGAGCATGGCCACACTATCATCCTCCCCTGATGGAGGGGCAGGTTGAATCAATGAGAGTGCTGAAGATGGGAGTTTGCCAGGAGCTAAGGCCTCATACCGATGGCGTAGTGTCTGGAGCTCAAACTCGCAATTAGCATGAGCCAACTTCAGCTCGTACAGAAGCACCAAGTCTGACCTGCAGGAACAAGACCATCAAAAGAACTTTTGACGAAGGGGCAGCTTGTGATAACTCAAACGTAAAAAGGAAAAGACTTTCTCTTTTTTGCCCATGGCCAGCAGAGCTCTCTTGCAAGGCTGATAATCAACAAGTTGTGTACCAGATTGTGTGATGACAGTAAGAGAAAGTTTAACTAAAATTTCGCATTAATTCACTGGTGCAAGGTTATCACTACTACCCAGATCTTGATTGTAGTTGATTCATTTTTACCTGACATGTAAACGATGCCCTCACCTCAATGCAAAATGTTGCAGTTGCAATAAC